CGGCTCGTTAAGCTCGCGAGCCTAATCGAGCCTATATGTATTGGGGGTATATATATAGATTTATGTGTATATAACACTTATTATACATATTATGCTTCTAGAAAGAATCTTATCGGTGGGGATACATATGTATGGTGGCCTCATTCACATTCTAAAGAAAGCAATTACCAAATACCAAACCAAAGAGAAAGGGAAAAAAATCAATCAAACAAGCTAGAAACCCTTTCAGTTTCAACCCTCCCTCTCCCTACAAAGTTGCAACTCTGCGAGCCTGCGAGCTGTGGCCTGCGTGCGAGCCTGAGACCCTACCTCACCCTCAAGCTCTCTCACTCTCAGACTTAGTCGAGTTGACGCCTAGCGCCGGTGGACTAGCAGTACTCATAGCTCTCAGTCAAGTCTCAGCTCTCAGCCTCTCAGTCTCTCACAACCGATGCCTGACAAACGCTCGATGGTATTGTTACCTCTCACCTCTCACAATCTCAATCTCTCAGATTCTTCTTCTTCTTCTTCTTCTTCTTCTTCATGATTTTGGGTTTTTCTTTGTCCTTTCTACAGCTCTTAGAGTTCAAAATTAAAAGGACTGATTGGCTCCCAAAACCAAAAAGACCACCACACCGCACCGCCCATGCTAACTTGCAGTGTTTTCATTACATGCTGATTTCATTGTCGAGCTCGAGCTGAATTGAACTTGAATATATGATTTTTTTATTTGAGCCAAACTCGAGCCTGTATTTCTAGAACGAATCAAGCTTGAGCTGCTGAGTTGAGCTCAAATACCTAAATATTCAGCTCGGCTCAGCTCAAATCCATCCCTAACCATGATCAATAAAAGAAAAGAAGTGTTTATTGTAAGGCACATTTTGATTTTGGATGATGGCTGTCACTTAAAAGTTTATAATTGTTTTTTGAAGCGACTTGAAATTTTATAATAAATTTGTATTTGTGTGTGTATATGGTTGACCAATACCAACAAAGAAAGAGTATATATGTTACAAAAAAATTCATAGTAATATAAATATTGTTAACCGCATTCTGTTTGTAGAAATTAATTATAATACTTCAATTTCTAATTATCTCAAGTAAGTTACATGTTATTAAGGACAAATAAGAATCAATCATAAAAGTTGGGTATTGGAGCATATTAGAGGTGTAAAACGGGCTGACCCACCAGCTGATGAGTCGTTCCCCCAGGGCTAGGCTGAGCCAAGGGTTTACGGTCTGCGGTATAAGCAAATGAATGTATACATCTGAAATAAAATTTTAAGAAATTTTCAATACATTGTCTATATTATTAATCTATCTGAGTTTTCATTATTTTTCAAATTTTCTTAAAAAAATCATACTGGCCCATTGCCTGCCCCACAGCCCGGCTCGACCAGGCCTGGCTCATTACACAACTCGCGTATATTGATATGACCTATATATACTATATTCTATATTTTATTTTATTTTTTTAATTTTATAAGTATGGAAAGGATTCATGTCTTTTCTTTCTATCGTCTCAAAGTTTTAAAAGTTTTGAAGCAAGGTCTATCCATGCATGCATATTTAGGCTACGTTTGGAAAAGATGCAAATGGAGTGTAAATCCTGGTTTAGGATAAATTTGTATTTCGGTTCATTTTTGCCTGTATTTGGCAATGTTATATTTATGCATCGACAAATGACAAACCAATACATATTTGTATTGATAATAAGATGTAAAAGTATATTAATAAAAGAGAAGTAAATTTGCATTCAAATGGGCTTTTGATAAAAAAGAGCATATGTTTTATTCAAATTTGATGTAGGAGTACATGGCCCAAACCAACGCGGCAGACAGTGGCACCCAGGGTGGACCCAATAAAGGCGTGTTCAATACAAAGGTTGGCGTGCGACGTGGAGCCAATGAAGCGGCCGCACGCGGAGGCCTTGGATGACCACACCTCTCAGGGCTGGGCCGCATCTTGGCCATCCAAGCCCACCTACCTCCAGGCGGCTTCAAGTATAAATAGGGAGCAACACTCTCAAGGTAGGCATCTAGACTCTTGACTGTTAAGAACTCCCTTATCTCTCTCGTGGCCTCGTCTGAGTATCCTTGCCTCAGGCCTCGTCCACCTAGTCTTGCACTCGTACTAACTTAATCATCAGAGTCCTCGCCTTGGGTTAGCACCCGGGGCATCTGACGTCTTCTCTTTTCTCAGGTCTGACCTACCAACCCTCGGCCTCGATAGACCTCGGACCCCTCACTCAGCCCTCGGCTCAGGAATAGAATTATAGTGTTGTCCTCAGTCCATTATGACCAACAACAAAATTCATATTTGCATCCATTACAACTAAAAGTCTGTTTGGCAAGAAGTTAAATTTGTCCGTGCAAAACTAACCCAACTTTACAATTTATATCAACCATTTTACACTCTATATATTTGCATTGACAGTTATCTGCATCCTTTCCAAACACAGCCTTAGGTGCATGGGTGGTGGTATTCATATTTGATCTTTAAATAGAAGATAATGCTTAAGAAGAAGAAGAGAAGAAAAAGAAGAATGGGCGGGCTAGGCGCATCTTAGTAAAAACCAGAGATCCCCACATCCAATCCAATCAGGGTTTAAGAAATGTCCGAGAATCTTCCACATATATATGATTGAGCACATGTGGGAGAACGTGAGGACTCAGAACTCAGAGGAGCATGGAATCTGAGTGTCTTTCTTCCTTTCCTTTCTTTCTTCAATCACCTACCTATTCGGGTGCTGAGAGTGAGAGTGAGAGAGAGAGAGAGTCGCAAAAGCGAAAGCTGCCCTGAAAGTAGAGAGAACAACATCTCACCCCTATCCATGTGGGGCGTCAACAATAACATGGACATACACTCAACGCTTGGATTTCCGAGCCCTCTTCCTTCGACTGTTCTGCTCTTCGTACAACCACCATAACCATTACACTACACAACTAATAACAACTCTGCCCTCTTTTTTCCTCCTCATAGAATGGGAAGAGAAAACAAACAAATCCCTTCCAAACTTTGTTCTTTTCCCTCCTTTTACTTTCTATCGTATCAGACAATTTCGAGATAACTAATATCTGATTAATAGTAGTGCCATCTACTGTACGTATACTGTATAAAACCGACCAACAGACGATCCTCCGCCATTGTTGCAGTGACAATAACCAAGAGAGAGGACGGGGTGGGATGTTTGCTTTTTGACGGCTCTCGTTTACTGAGTTTGGATTACTTCGCTTTATTCCTTGTTACTAAACAGCCTTGGTCCTTGCGAAAGCTAGTCCCAACCCAGATGCCTTTCTTTCGAGACGATTGATTACATGACGTGGATTAAACTAACAATAACAACTATACATCTATAAATCGTGTTTGGATGATTAGTCATTCGAACCTGCCTTTTATATTGTTGGATCGAGAAGATTAAATTACACAAACGCGGTGGACAAATGATAATCAGTCGAGAGAACATATTCATATGGGAAAAGCCCCCCTGAACCCCACTTGTTGGTGACTTCTTGGCTGGAAAACTGAAAATCTTATTAGTTTTCAAATTTTATGAGTATAGCAGCAAGTCAGGGGAAAACACGCCCTGCCGGGGGTCCACACGGACTCTACTTAGTTTGAATGCTCCCATTTGATGATCACTTTTTCGTTTAATTTATTCTTTTTTATTTTTTTTTATCTTTCTTTTTTGATAGGATAATTTGATGGTTTTACTGGTTACTGGTTACTAACAACTAACAATTAATGGAAGTGGATTCGATGCAGGTCTGGCTTTCGATTTCACAAGAGTTTACATTCTGATCATCACATTTCTAAGAAAAATGGAACTGGAGAGTCCAACCAGAACCAAGTACTGTTCTTTTCAACTTGCCCACCTCAAGAAGAAGAAAGAGAATGATCGAGTAGAGGGAAGGAGTCTCATCAAGTCAAATTTTGAGATATTCTTCTCTGCTTTATTTTGACTCTACTGTCGCCGGCCGGTAACTTAAACTATATATTCTTCTTCCAAAGAAATCCAAGAGTCATTCATTCATGTAAGGTTCTGAATTTATGTTGGCCTGAGTTTGAATGGGGTTTTGGCGTCTTTTACCACCATCTAGTGTCTACAGATTCTCTCCCCCTTCACCACTTCTCTCCACAACTCACCAGAAACAACAAACAAACGAAATGAGTGCGCATTCTATATTCTCCCAGTAAAAACAAAACGAAAAGAAAGTGAGGACGTTAAAATATTATAACTGGTATATATTTGGAAGCTTGTTATTATTACAAAATCATTAAATCCTCACCTTCTTTCAGTCTCGATGCAGCACATATATACTACGTGCACGCATATGCACAAACTTGCATGCAAAGGAAAAAAACAATTTATCGGTGAAACTGCGATAGTAAAGATCTCTACTCTCTCCAGTATTTCTCCCGAGGGAAAAATTTGAGGAATTCGAATTTCCCCGGGATCTAAGCAAGAACATGAAATTCCCCCTCCTGAGTCCTGACATGGAAGAAGCTAACAAAGCATTAAAATTAACAATAACAACAATTCTCTTTCTCTACTCTAAATTTGCTTTTGCTAGTAGGGAGGGAGTTAATTTCTAGGTCTCTGTACTCATAATGGGGCTAACATGCTTCCCCCATACGGTAACACAGAGAGAGAGAGAGAGAGAGAGAGTCTTCCCCCTGCATGACGAATCAGTTTAGTAGTCAGTATGAACATTGAGTCATTCTAGAATACAGTGGTTTTCCCTAGTAGCTTAAGATTCAGACTTTAATTGCAACTGAACATATGCACGAGTTGACAACGGAAGATGAGAATGCATACACTCCTACAAAAGTTTTAGGCTTTTGGCTCTTCACAATTGATGCTACTTCCATCAACCACCTGAACCACGAGTTTTCTTTTGCATCCTGAATAAAATGCCAGATTCATCAATAATTACTGATAGTATAGGTAGGGTTGATTCTGCAAGTGTGTGGAGATCAGGCAAATGCAGTTTGTCAACTTCACTGAACTGATGCTAATGTAGGGAAAAAGAGGGGACTGAGATGGATTTATCACGAACGAACTCCATTGAAAAAACTTCACTAGTCATTACAGTGCTTTGATCAATTCTAACAACTAGTCCTTCATGTTAGATATCAAAATCCATGAACTCATACACCCACTCCTGTAAACATACCAATAGAATACACAAAAAAAAAATAACAAAAAAAAAAAAAAAAAGAAATAAAACAAAGGGAAACCTACCACTTCTAGGTTCTTCATCGGTAGATCATGAAGAGACAGGTTCCTCCATCCACTTTTGTTGTTTCGGCATCTTAGACTCCTGGAATTGGAATTACCGAGTTAAGGAAGGTGATTGAATGGGAACCATTTCTCTTCAAGTCTGATTTTCTTTAGTGGAAGCTGTACTAACTAATGGAGAAGACGAAGCTACAAGGTGAGGTTTATCGAGATATAGGGAAAAAGAAAGATCGAAATTATAAGAGATGACTGTTGGAAGAAGAATTGAAACCGGAGAGATCTGTCCATGCATTACTACCCCAGTACTGATCATTTCCTGGAATACCCAGAAACTGTCTTGATAAATTCAATCCATGATTTTCTTCCATCTTCACTGAAGCTAGCTGCGTAACCCCAGAGCCTGATGGCTTGGTCCGAAGCTGAGAGGCACCTCCAGCATACGCCGATGGTTCAGCACTTTCTCCCTCGAATGGGTATAACCCCGCGGAAGGCTCCAAACCGGTTAGAAAAGGGAATTGCTGCACTTGCTGCAACCGCCATTGCTCCGCACTTCCAGATGATAAAATGGAGCTACCGCCACCTGAATAACTTGCTATCTGGAAATCCATATCAGTCCCACCACCGCCCCCTGCAGCCGCTACCGGTGGATGGATTCCACTAAAATTTAAGCCGATGTCAGGAGGAGCGTATTCAGTAAGATGATGTAAAGAGGAAATAAATGGTAATTGCAATGGTGGCGTTGGTTGTATGTGGCCTATTATATCCGTGGTGCAGCTATTTGCTGGGATTGCACTTGTTGAACCAGGACCAGTGTGACGTTCACCAGTCACAGGTGATTTTGAGCTGCTACCTTTACTTCTTTTGTTCCTTCGGCAGCCTCCACCGACAGGAACATTTCTCAGCGCACCCCCTCTAGTCCAGTACCGGCGGCAGGTCTTGCAGAAGTGGCGAGGCTGTGAGAGGCTGTAATTATTGAAGTAACAAAACTTGGTATTGGTGGATTCACATCGCGGGCACTTTAGGGCAGCCTCCGGCTGTGGCGGCTTGGCAAGTCGGGCTCGATCAGCCACCGAACCAGGTCTAATCGAGCCCGAGCCCCCTCCTGCCGGAGGCGGCGGCGGTGGTGGAAACTGGGGATTCTCAGTGCTACTTGAAGATTGATGATGATTTGGTTGCTGTAAAACACAAAAGCAAAAATCAAATATCTGGTATATTCAACAGGAACTAACAAAAGGGTAGGAATATTTGTCTTTAAAATTGCTTTTTTAGTGAAGAAGCTGCGAAAAAGAAATTGAAGAAACCTTACCTGCTGCCAGTTGGGTGGATAGAGAGGAACCGAAGAAAAAACCATCGTTTTAATTTGATCTTCTCTTTTGTAAAGGTTGATGGGTTTTCGGAGAGGTGGTGGAGAATCACATCCAGAGAGTTGCAGAGAGGGGTGGGGGAAGGAGAAGGAAAGATAAAGGAGGGGCTTTTATTTATTTTGCTCTCTTTCTCTCTCTCTAAGATAAAGGAGGGGCTTTTATTTATTTTGTTTTCTTTCTCTCTCTCTGTGTTTTATTAATTTTTAGGGTTTTGAGCATGGAAAGTTTCTTAACCTGTAAGGTTCTTTGTGATATTATGGTGCAGTACTTGGGGAAAAAAATAAGAGTTTTTGAGACTTCCCTGCATGTAGAAAGAGAGAGAGAGAAAACGAGAGTCGTAAAACCCCTATATATATATAATATAATGAAAGAAAATAGAAAAATAATTGGTTAATTAAGAGATAAAAGGGAAAGTCTTGGTGGTGCGGAAGAGTCAGGCTAGCTAGCTTTTTATTTTTTTTAAATATATATTCATGCATGCTAATTGCTATTGCTGTCATACTAATGGTAGAAAAGTTTAATACGCTGATTAAACCGAAGCGACCCAAACCCGACGGGAGAAGAGTCGTGCCGGTCTGAGTCGTAGTGAAGTGAAGAAATTCGCAGGCTTATTTCGTGTTTGTAGTGGTGGTTGGACAATATCCATATATTAACTTACCTAACACTAAAATAGAATCACTCTATGATTCTTATTTGCAAAGAAAACGAATACATATTAATTAATTAATAACGTTCATGCGGGAGTTCTCACGTTGAATAAAATGTGCTGCCTGTCTCTATTCACTCTATTGTATGTGTTGATAGCTTTTGGTTGGGCTAAATATATATAATTATATTACTAAAGTTGAAAACTTTCGAGGCAATGGACTATGTCTCCAGCGTTCCTAAAACATGTTATTACTCTGAGCTGTTGTTATTCGTAGATTTATTGCTTGTGGTGGGGCAATTTAGTACACGTGTGAGGTCCACTAGCTAGGTAACCTTGCTAATTGAGCCTGCAGTTATCGGATTTGAATTCATATCTCCTTTGGATTGGAGCCTTGGAGGGCATCACCATTCGGTTTTAGGTAAGACAATGAACACTTAACCAAGCCTTCCATGTATAATGACTAAGCATATCAATGATCCATCCAATTACCATTCATGATTTGGCATGCATTTTTAAGACCAAAGCATAACGGTTTGATTGGGCCGGCCGGATTTTTCAATAGCTATTAGCATCCTCGACGTCTATGCTTGGGGAGGAGGGTAAAGTGGGCCGGCGGACCCCAAAACCGTCAGATATGGCGGGAGAGAGATGCTCGTGGTCGCCAATGTATTGCTCAATGTACCAAGTCAGATCCTTGGTAGGGCCCCCAATAACTTCCTGTCGATGATACTCCATGAAAGCAATGGCATAGGGAATATAATTGGGGGGGGGGGGGTCGGCCGTCGGTGAGAAAAGCAGAAGACCACCCTTCAACCCTCAATCTCACTGTCCAATTGCCCATTTCTTCCCCCACCCATGTATTATTGATAGCTACACCCACACTTGTGTATTATCATCACAAAAAAGGAGGTTAACCTGTTACCCGATTTTATTTGTACACGTGGCACATATAATATAACATTTTCCACCATTAGTCCATGTCACCCTCTGTTTACATACATGGAAAATTTCACCCATGTAATCCAAGTCCGGATCACCTGCCAACAGAATGCATTCCAACACCCTACCATCAACATCTGTCTCATACAGGGCACACAGGTCCCATTTATATGGTGGGCTCCAGTTTTATAACAAGATGTACGGTGTCAGATCAAGTTGGTAGAATATTGGAACTTGTTTTATTGGCAGATGTATCCCAATTCCAATGCAGCCATTAGATTGAATGACCCAATCAATACAACCTCTGGTTTTGGATAATTAGCAAAAGAATTTTAAGTTTGTGTTTGTTTGCATCCCATGCTTATTTACACTCACTTGTATCAATTTTGCATCCAAAAAACTGATGAAAAATTTGCACCATCTCACCTCAGTTGTACCAATTTTCTATCATATAAAGTGGAGACTACGTCATCATGCTCTTACCCAATTCCATAAAAATAATCCTCTTCATACCTATTCTCTTTCATAAAAATTATACATCTTAGAATTTACACTCAACCTAGTTATTTGCATATATTCCCATGCTTTTACGTACACTAGTGCAAATGAAATTGTGCTGCAACCAAACTGAACCTAAGGCTTCATGTACAATTTCATTTACACTGATGCAGGTTATTTTAGTGCAGATTCTGATTCATTTTTTTGTCAGATTCTTCCTTGTTTGGTTTATTTGTGTGGTAGATGAAGTAAAATAAAACCTGAAGCTAATTAATCAAAGTAAAGCCCAAAGCCAAAGTGAATCAGAATTTGCATTTTTTTTTTCATTTGCACTTTCATGCATTTATACTAGTGCACATTAGGCTGAGATTGAAAGGAGTACAAATGCAAATATGTAGAGTGCAGAACCTTATATTTTGTATGTATTTACGCTGTACATATTTACATTTGTACTCTTTCCAAACTGAGCCTTACAAACAAATGGGGCAAAATTTCAAATCATTAACATTGGTTGTCAGTGAAGGAAACTAGCTAGGTTGATTCATGAATGTAATTCAAGTTGAGCACAAATCGCATGAAGAAATAGATTCTCAATTTACTTGGTGGCTCTTCGCTTTTAGGCTGCATTTGGTTTGAAGGAAAGTGGGGAAAGTAAAGGAAAGATAGGGAAACCTTTACAAATTTTATATAGGTTTCCCTACCTTTCCCTTCCTTTCCCTACCTTTTCCTTCAAACTAAACACAACCTTAGTCTCAGAGGAATCTTATCACTTGGCCAAATTCACATTATCAGTGATTATATACAGTTCGTATGTCCTAACCAGTGCAATAATAAGTAATGGCCGGCCGGCCCTCTTATAAATAACAAGTGAGGAAGTCATGTGCATTGCATGTGGTGCACGTGATACTAAGAGTGGAAAGAAAAGATTAAAAAAAAAAAGATGTAGATTTGGCATCCGCTTTATATAGTAATACACATGCATATATACGTCGTAAATAATTTATACATAAAAGTTTTAATTTGTTGTTATTTTTTTTTTCTTTTCAATTCTTTTAACGGCCATGTATTTGCACATATTTTTTGAGTATGGTGTTCCAGGCACATGCACAATTCTTTTAACCGGTCATGTGATCGGTTTCGATTTTTCTTAAACTCGGATTTTTGTCAAAAAACATTAATTTAGTCAATAAATCATTGGTTTGAGAGGTTGAACTGTTCAAATCGTTTAACGGTTTTGACTGTTTTTTATTTTTTTTAATTTAATTTTTTTTTATTAGAACGGGCCAACCGTTCGATTCAACCCAGAAACCGGACCCCTGACCAATTCGTTCTCCAGATTCTTTCTAATCTTATTGTTTATACGTAGAAGCTTTTATTGGAGTAAATTACCACCATTCCAAACTTGCTAGTTGCTACTAACTTACATAAGGCTGAAAAGTTAGGGATGGGCTCAGAACCCTGTCTCATTCTTTCAAACCCAAGGACGGATCTGGTCCAAATCCCACACCTTTGTTTTAATTAATTTGGTTACTTTTTATCTTAATAACCCCGGCCCAAACCCTACTTGTAACTCGGTCGTTTCGTCCCTGAAATAAGGCTGCCTGAGATTTTGTTATTGTAACTTGTAAGCTACTTTCACTTTTATCGAGTAGAGTTAACATATTACGTACGTAGCTACAAACATCATCAAAGTAATAACGCCTCCCACATGTACCCAATTCATATAATAATTAAAAAAAAATCCACATGACAAACACGCAAAAGCAAAATTAATTTTGCTCTTCCTTTGTAAGGAAATAATACGTTAGTTATCATCTTATTAATGCTATTATTTGTATTTTCCTATATATATATATATATATATATATATATACTCTCTAGCGTTTGACTAAACCTTTTATAGTGAATAACTATATTTTTGTGCGTAGGTTCTCAAGAACTTGAACCTGAAAAAGGAGGCACGTGGAGGGCCTAATTAACTAGCTAGCAGTAGTAATACATACATTTAGGTGTAATTAACATGTGGTGCGTTACTAATTAAGTAGTATAATTAGCATGCTTAATTAATAATTCAAAGATCACTAAACAAGTGCAAGAGGCTTCTGGAGAATTGCTTTCACATATTTTAAATACTGATTTTTAAAGCAATCACTACTTCGGTACAGAGTTGAGTCAGGTTAAAGGGGTAAGGAGGGTCGACAAATATACAAAGAGAGAGAGAGAGAGATTTCTCGTATTCTTGAATCCCGTCCGAAGATCAGTCACTCACTCGTATGTCTTACGAAAAGTCAAGGATTTTGAACAATGCACTTGCTTTCTTTCGTTACTTTGTTTTTATTTTATTTGTTTGGAGCCTGTTCCAACTTCCAAGTTGCTACCTGTGCCGGATACATATAGAAAGATCGATCGATCCAAGTTCCAACCTGCTGGTATGGAAACAATATCGCAGCCCAAAAATGAGTTGGAAAACCGAAAACTATATATAAAGTGCAATGCCAAGTTCGATGGTGTGGTCCACGGCTCAATAATCATGATATAGATTATGCCACATCAGCATCAGCTCCATACAGTCAACATTATTGCAAACATGGCATCTGAAAAGGGAAAAAAGAAATTGTTGGGACTTGGGACTGTCTGGTCCAATCCTACTCTCGTTACACTGATTTTAAGACGTCGACCAAGGTTGGTTGGGATCGTTTTTGTGGGGTTAGGAGGTGCAGTCACTTTAAAATTTTATTAAAAGCATATCACTACAAAAAAGATACAGGGGAGGATATAGCCCCTCTTGCCCCAAGCCCAAAGTATAAGGAATACTCTCTAAACTCTCAAAAGAAAGAAAGAAAAATATTATATGTATTTGGGAATTGGTAGATTAGAGTTATCTTCGCGGATTAAAAATAGGCGTTTGTGGAATTATCTATTCCAAAATTCGCAAGATAATCTGTCACACGATTAACCTTTCTGTAGATAAGATTAATAGAAATCCTAAGCTGGGCTGCCAACTGGGAAATTTCTTGAACTTGGTAAT